GGGGGGGGGGAAGGGTGTGGAGTGCTTTAAAGTGTGTTATCGAGGAGGAGGAGGGGAAGAGGTTAGAGGGAAAAGGAGGAAACTTCACTTTGGGTAGGTTGTTCCCCGCTGGCGGCGAATGGCTCAGCTGCTCTCTCGTGGGCTGCTGAGACTCCCTCTCTCGATTCCGGAGCTGGTGTGGACGTCATCTTGAGGAGTCTCTGCGTGGTGATCATGCTTGCGCTTGAGGCGCGAGCTGTCGATTGTCTTGGTGGGCGGCTTCGGTGGCGAAGGTGGCTGAGTCGTATGTGACTCGAGCTGGCTGGCTACCTCCTTACCCGGCGATGGTGCTGGTGATGGTGCTCGCGCTCGAACCGTGCTGGCTTGCGGGCGGCGCCGATGGCTGATGGGCTGATTTGCCCACGTCCGAAATCCCAGCGCGTTCGTGCTCAGGGGCGGGCTGGCGGGTTTCAGTGGTGGAGGGGGCGAACCCTGTGGGCGGAGGGCCCGGCGGGCCGACGCGGGGTTGCGGGACGCTAGCACGAATTAGCGCTTCGTTGCGCTACCGAACGGCGCGATCGGTTGGAGTTTACTTTTTTGAGTTTTTTTCAGATGTTTTTGTTTTTTTTAAGGTCGGATTGTGTTTGGGGTGCCCCATGTTATGGATGATGACCTAATTGAAGAATGAGTCAAATTCATCAGCCAGTTAATCTTCAAACCAGCTCACCTGAAGAACTAGTATTGAAATTGAGTAAATAATGAGCATTGGTTGGATCGAAAGGTCCTCCTTGTTTGAAGTCACCTGCATAGTTGATCCCCTTTCCTTTCCCTTGTCTTCTCAAGCCATGCTGAATCTTCAGCTTGACATATAGGGAAAACAAAATTTGGTCTAGCTTTGTGAACTTTGCACCATGGTCAAAGATTGATGTAATGTTGATTTCTGAGTCGTGTGCAACACCGTGTTAACTCCTTTCTCTTTTTTTTTTCCAATCCTTTGAAGGATCCTTGCAGGCCTGGTGTACCGGAATCTGTGCATGCATGCCAGAAGGCTGGAATAGTGGTAAGTCACCTCGTCCATACCTGGATGTGATGATGAAGATATTAAGGATCTGCATAAGGATGAGGATCACCAATGATGATAAGATGATAGATGGCGATGATGAGAATGATGTTGACGACGATGAGGATAAGGATGAGAATGAGAATGAGGATGAGGCTAATGCGACAATGGTGATGATGAAGAAGAAGACAATGACGGTGATGAAGATGATGTGGCGACAATGACAAGGAAGATGGCAATGATGATGATGTGATGACGAAGATGACAATGATGATGGTGATGACGTTGATGATGGAGCGTGAGGGCAATGATGACGCCGACGATGATGATGACGATGATAGTGATGAGAACAATGATGATGGTGACAACCACAACAATGATGTGATGACAGTGATAATGATGGTGACCACGGCATTGATGGCAAGGACGCTGGTGATGGTAATGATCGCAGTCATGACATGGTAATGACAATGATGATGAGGATGAGGAAGAGGAGGAGGAGGAGGAGGAGAAGGAAGAAGAGGACGAGGCTGGGACCGAAGGAGGAAGGGGGATGCAGTAGAGTTGGGGGGATAGGGGAAGGAGGAGGTAATGGCGGTGGTGATGGTGTTAGTGGAGTAGTAAGAGTAGGAGAGGAGGGGGGATTGGTGGGGGAGGACGATGAGGATGATGACGACCAATTGAGCGCATCTGTGTCATACTTTTCCAGTCCACAGTCCACTGTCATTTCTGCCTACATCAAAACACACTTATATGCCCTCGTATGTGCTAAGCTCTTTGGCTATTTAAAGTTTAGACTCTTTAGAGTTTAAACTATTTTATAATGTGTTAATGTCTGCATTGTCCGAGTTATTTCATCAACTTTTTTCTACGGAAGAAAGTGGTAGTGTGTTCGTAGCATTTCCACAATTTTCCGGATCATTACTTTTTTTTTTTTTTTTTTCAACTGGCTGCAGAGTTGAAGGATTTGGGGTCCTGTGCAATGAGTCAATCCTAGTTCCACATGCATTGTGAACCTTTGGATTTGAAACGCACAGGGAAAACAATCAAAGGATCTAATATGGCACTCTTTCTGGAAATTTTGAACTGCATGTAGCACTGGAGAGTGACTGGACTTGGAAAATCGTCGTGTTTTCTTTTCTTTTTTTCTTTGCTGAAGGTGACCTCAATCTGAGCCAGGTACAATTTTTAGCAGAAGGACAGTCTTGGAATGGCCAGGGTGTGTTGCTCATGACCTTGAAAAGTCTGTTACGAAGTGATATGTTTGAACAAAATGTGGCTTTTGAGACCAACTATCTGTCATTTTCTTTTCTTTTCTTTTTCTTTTTTAATTACTTTTTTGGGCGCAGCTATTTATCATGTATTCTAAGGAAATGCTGACAAGATGTGTTATGACACTTGGGCTGCCTTTTCATCTTTACTATCTGGTTGTTGAAGGTGCGAATGGTCACAGGCGACAACATCATGACAGCAAAGGCAATTGCAAGGGAGTGTGGGATCCTTGATGAACGCGGTGTGGCAATTGAGGGGAAGCAGTTTCGTTCGCTGACACCTGAAGAACAGATTGCCATCATTCCTAAGCTTCAGGTCCCGAGTAGTATCTGAGAATGTTTTGCGACTTTACGTCGAGTCTTCGAATTAAGGCTAATCTCTCTCTCTCTCTCTCTCTCTCTCTCTCTCTCTCTCTCTCTCTCTCTCTCTCTCTCTCTCTCTCTCTCTCTCTCTCTCTC